GCTTCATGTTAAAAAAAAAAAAAAAAAAAAGTTAAATTAATACTTGAGTATAAAATATATATATTGAATATAAAATAATAATAACATCAATCATTTTCATCATCAGAAACAATCTTTGACCAAGAGACAGTAGCAATTAACAGTAAATGGAGGCCCTTAATATCTTCAGTCAAATTTTATGGAACTTTATGGAACAAATAACAAATTGTTCCCTCATCATGTGCAGTGAGAGAGAGAGAGAATATATATATATATATATATATATATATATATATATAAAAAAATAGAATATATATATATATATATATAGAGAGAGAGAGAGAGAGAGAGAGAGAGAGAATATATATATATATATATATATATATATATATATATATATATATATTGTGTTGCAAAAGTCTATCTAAGACAACAAATGGAGTATTAGGTGTAGATTCCAGACAAAGAACCATTATGGCAAATTTACAAATGCTGTAAAAGCAAGCAAGAACGGTTAAAAACAAATGAGATGTTATTATTCTCAGCATATTTTATGAATAATTTAGAAGCTGACCCATAGTTATGGATAGTTTAGAAACCTCTAGAGAAGACCTTTTACAAGTTTATTCACATGAAAAAACAGCATGTGAATACAACTTGTAGTGAAATGAATAGTCCACTTGTGATTATCCATGCAAAGCTTCTCCACGCAGTCAGCCAAAATTCTGTATAAAAGCAAACAGATATTAGGCAAACCACAAACTCAAAAATCATGATTAATCTTTACAGTAAATGGATCATCACACTCAATTTTAGCTGCATGAATTATTTTCTCTCTGTGATTGGTTGGTGTTTCCTACACATAGTCCAGAAACAGCTGCAGTGCGTGATTCCCTTCTTCTCGACTTTTGTATTGTCCTAAAAGATCTGAAACAGTGCAGACAGCTTCCCTGTGCCTTCTCTTTAAAAAGAGAGGAAGAAGAAATAGCAGAAGATAATGAAACCAATGACCCAGTTGACGGAGTAGATGATCACCATGTCCATGTCAAATCGCCAGCCATGCGAATCATCCTCAAAGTTGAAGGCATCAAGCCGGTAGCCCCCGTGAGGGAACTGGCGTCTGCCGATTGGACTTGCCTGCCTTTGAAAGCCTAAGAAAGAGAGAGTGGGAGAGAAAAAAGAGCAAGACAAAGAACAGTAAGCATTACTACCATATGAAGAATAACAACTGAATCTGAAGGGGAAATAAGTGGAATAGATGTAAAAATAGTTTGACCTCCAAAAATTCGAAACAGTTTACGACAGCTCGGAAGAGGCCATTTTGCACAGCCCGCTTTCTGGAAATTCTGCTTCCGAGACAGGTATTCCTTTGGGAAGAACGTATGGGCTGTATGGTTCAGTTCTGTGAAGAGTGGGATGTGTGAATTTATTTATCTGTGAATCATTAGTGTGCTCATGTGCATTACTTCCAGAAAGCCCAGACTCATTTTAAATGGATTTATCATATCTCATACAGCTTGTTTCTCAGATCAGATTCTGTCATATTTCATGTCATTTTTAGTGTTTGAAATCAATATAAGATCCAAATTTCTGCTCAACCACTGTGAAAAACCGTATAGAGTGCAACTGGAATGAATTCATTTTCATCCCATTCATTTTGCCATTAAGAAAACAGATTTTTAACAATTGTCTATAAACCTTTTAAGACTATAGTACAGTGAAAATAATTTGGTGTCGAAACAATTTTCACTGAGAAATTGGTAGTAAATTTCACAAAGAATTAAGAAGACACATTGCATTAAACATGAAATTTTGAAGTTGAAAGACTTAATTTTTCTTGTAAAACTTCATATATACACAATACAAATACATACTATATTCACAATAATTTTTTACAGTGTATATGATGCCATCAAATATTCAGAGATTTTTAACAATTGTCTATAAACCTTTTAAGACTATAGTACAGTGAAAATAATTTGGTGTCGAAACAATTTTCACTGAGAAATTGGTAGTAAATTTCACAAAGAATTAAGAAGACACATTGCATTAAACATGAAATTTTGAAGTTGAAAGACTTAATTTTTCTTGTAAAACTTCATATATACACAATACAAATACATACTATATTCACAATAATTTTTTACAGTGTATATGATGCCATCAAATATTCAGAACACTTTTATTAAAAAAAAAAAAAGGAAAAAAAAAATAAAAATTCAATCTCAGAGCTGGTAAAAATAGTACTTCCAGTACCAAAGTGTCTGAAAAATGTAGGCGCTCACTCTTGTGCTCAATCCCACTAAAAAGGTCCGTAACGTGAGGGAAGGGGTCGCCATGATTTTGCCAAGTAAGACATGTTCCTGGATCAACATCTTTGATGATCCTGGATCAACATTAATGTCCAAAAATATAGACTTAACCCAATCCCTACCCCTAAACCTAACCATACCCATAATTTATTCCTAAAATCAGTGGGAAATGATAGCTGATTAACAAGGGTGTAGGAGCACCTAACCCTGATTGTAAGCCTAAAACAGATATTTCCTGAAAAGTTATATCTCTATTCTGATTGGTTGATTGGAATGATGTTCCAGGATCAACAAGGATGTTGATCCAGGAACATGTTGTACTTGGTGAAATCACGCTCACCGAGGGAAGGATGTTACATTTGATCCTTCCCTTACATTTGAAGCCCACATTAGTTCCACATTAGTTAGAATTGCCATTTAATATCTTCATAACATATCTCTCTGCCACATCCTTAGCCATAGAGATGCTTTTGTCCATTATCACTGCATGTCTTGATTATTGCAATGTTCTTTTCTTTGCACTACTCTGCAAAACTATTAGCAGACTACAGTATATTCAAATATTCAGCAGTCAATAAATATATAGTTTAAGGTACAAAATTCTTCTTTTGACCTTCTGTGACCCATCTTTCTGAGCTCCTCCATCCTTACATGCCATCACTTTCAGGTTCTTTAATTCAAGTCTACTTCAGTTAGTAGATTATTCACTGTCATGAACTTTCTCCCTCAGATCTGAGCTTAAGCTCTATTCTCACAGTACTTCTTCTCTCCTCACTGTTAATCTTTGTCTTACAGAATTGTTTGAAGGCCAACCCAGAAGGCTAATGTTACATGTGTTCCCTTGGGAATTTCTAATGGGTTTTCAGTCTATTTAGCCTCTCCTATTTGTTATGTAGCAACCTATTAGCCACTTATGTTTATAAAGCACATAAAGGTTTAAAAATTCAGGCTGAGGTATGACTGTGTGTATTTTATGTTGTTGAAAATAATGTGAAAATCTCTTGAAGTAATGTGAACCCCAGACCTCGTTTTACTCACAAATCTAAACTGCTATTTAAACCCATAGGAAATTCCAGAGGAAATCGATTGCTTGTAAATCCTAATTGTCTTCAGGGTTTCAGGACTACAAAGTGAAGAGATCTGTTGTGCTCTTTTGTTTTGTTTTGCTCATTTCCTTCTTTTGATGTTATTTCATTTTATGCATTGCTTCTTTCCTTGCCAACCTTTTTTGTTTACACTCTGTTCAACATTATTTGTTTGCATATTTACGGAGTTCCTTTGAGCTGGAGAAAAAAAACATGTATTATTACTAATAATAACAACAGTAATATTTAACAACAATAATAATGTTATTATTATTAGCCGTTTTTTGACAAATTCCCAAATAAGATTACAAAAAAAATCACAACAATAAATAATGATAAAAAAAATATTATCATCTGTTTTTGCGACATATTTGACAAATCACAATAATAACAACAACAACAACAATAATAATAATACATTATAAAAAATAATATTAGTAGATTTTCTATTAACTAGCTATTTTTATTATTCTTTTTTATTAGCTAAAGTTGTGTGTGTGTTTTTTTTAACTCTTGGGTAACTTTAACAAATTCCCAAAAAGAAGAAAAAAAAAACATCATCATCATCAACAACAACAATTCCCAAATAGGATTACAAAAATCACAACAATAACAAATAATAAAAATATTATTATTAGCTGCTTTTGCAAACTCTTTGATGAATCACAACAACAACAACAACAATAATAATAAATGATAAAAAAATAATATTAGTAGCTTTTTATTTTATTTTATTTCTAACTCTTGGGTAACTTCTTTGACAAATTCCCAAAAAGATCATCATCAACATCTTACAACAACAACAACAACAAAAATAACAACAACAAAAAATTATGTTAGCTGTTTTTGTCAAATTCCCAAAGATATTCCTGAAATTCACAACACTTTTATTATTATTATTATTACTACTAGTACTACTAACATTTGCAAAAAGATAACAGAAAATGTAAGATGCCTTTCTTCTGAAACAAACCTTTCTGGAAGAAGACATGTGTTATGGTGGTTCTGCACAATGGACAGGGTGTGTTGGTGGGGCAGTTCTTGGCCAGCGTCCGCAGACAAGGCTCACAGAAGACGTGGCTGCAGGGATGGCACATGTAGGGACTGAAGTAGACATCCAGACACACAGCACAGATATAGCCTTCACGATCCCGGCTGGGCAGCTCCTCATCCTCACTGCTGCTAGATGGGTTCCCTGTAGAGCTCTTCAGCAGAGTGAGAGAAGAGAAGAGATGACTCAGTGCTGCTATTAAACTCAACAATCTGCTGAGCTTCACCTTTACTAGGGAGCATCGCTTGCAGTGTTATGCTGATGGCTCGTATAAACAGTGTTTTGACTTGACTTGTTGGACTGTCAAACACACAGTAAGATTCCCTGAACTGTCCTGTTTTGGATTGTGCCACAGGCAGCCCTCAGGGGTGTTGTGTCCCACACATGTCTGGTGCACAGGAACTGTCTGCATAATCACAGCTCTCCCACCCATGGGAGAGGGGCCCATGCCCCTTGTTCCCTAGGTGTGTCATTATCAGCAAATACATATCTCATAAAAGCCTCCACATCCCACTTGACAACCCAGAAACGCTTCCTGTGGACACCAGAATCCTAACATCAACATCTCACATGGAATCTGTTAGTGCCTAAAATAAAGTCAAAATCCTCTTTTATATAAATGGATATGAGAGCATTCACAGTGTTTTAATTGATATGGTATGTAACCCTTGAAGTGTGTGCACTCCAAAGGGAAAATATACAGCCCACAACCAGAATTATTACCAGAGAAATGAAAATGTAGGATTTCTCTTTCTCGTCACTGTATTATGAAGGGTCCTTACTTCATCTGCCAAATCACAACCCACCCCACTTCTAGACTGTGGACAATGACAAATTGACAATGAGTACTAATTCACCACTTTTTAAGAGCCGTCTTCTGTGGGTTTTGATTTCATAGGAGACACTTTGGGGTGTTGTGCATTAAAGGGTAATCAGAATCATTGTGAAGAGAACTACATTTTAATTTTTACAATAATTTAAAATCTTTAATTTGGTTTTAATTGAAATTTTACATCAATGATAGAGTGAGCATTAATGCTGATGAGTTTATTGCAGTGAATTCAGAATCACTAATGCAGAACCTGTTGATTGTTGAAAGATGCCCTCTGCTGGAAAATGATAAATTCTGAATTGATCTGTGGGTGATCATTCAGCTTTATAATGTGCTAGAGAAAAAAGGAAGTAATGAATAACATAAGAATATATGAAGATATGTAAGAAATGATGTACAGCCAGTTGACCATTATCGCAAAATAAACCTCAACATGAAAGAGTAATTTGAAAAATATATTTGAAGAAAAATAGTCTGTTACAATGTAGAAAACAATCAGTCTAGAAACAAGACAAACACGGAAAAATCATAAAAGTAATATATTATTATTATTATTATTTCTGCAAATCAAAGTTACTTGTTTTCCTCTAGGTTTCCTCTCATCCAGCTCTTTGTCTTTTACTAGTTTGGTGTTTTTCTGGGTGATAATTGCATTGTCTTGTTTTAACTGTTTTTTTATTTATTTGCGTTGTCTTGTTTTAGGTTTTATATTTATCATAAAAGTAATACTGTAGTCCCCTGATGCCATTTTAACCAAGCCAGTAAACATTTATAACAGCATTTGCTGACTATAGGTATTATATTATATAAAACAATATAAAACAATTTATA